GAAGGGGAAATGTCCTCTTTATGTGCGTCTTCTCCTCCGTCAATTAAGGGTAGGCAACGCATCTGCAATTGTGGATGTTTATGTACAGCGGTTGCTTTTCATTTCGGTGGATTCAGGTGGCCGCTTGCTCGTTTGCCATCCTATATTATAAAAAAAAATGTAATTGTCTGATAACAATCCAATGTGTAAAATATGTGATGGAAATATCGGATTTTGTTACCTTATCTGATAGTTACGTCATCTTTAAGCTCTCTGAGCCTCTATCAGCTAGTGGTGGGAGAGACCCTTATTAATGTAGACTGGACAAAGTAAACTAAACTTTTATGACAATTTTTTCCAAATTATTCACCCCCCTAAATAAAATAGCTTGAAAATATATAGCTTACAGCATATCGTAAGTGTAAGGATATTTATTAAAGAAAGAATTATAAAAAATATACTGTGATTGCTGACATCCTACATAACTAAGAAGTGTGTGTTTACGTTTTATTATATTAGTACTAGCTGTTTCCATGCGGCTTCATCCGCAGGTAATAATAAAAACTTCATTTTATCGTTTACATTTGTCAATTTATCAATTGCAAACGTCAAAATGACATGACATGATGCCAATCCATGGCAATCTTGCTTCCTTGATGTTGGTAGCAACTTATGGTCTCTTTCTCACATTAGGATTTTTAACCAATTTATTTACCAACTATGTTTAATAGCGTAAAAATATACAGCCTAAAGTGTGAAGTAAGTGTAGGGCTTTTTATTAAAGAAAGAATTATTCAAAAATATTCTGTAATTGCAGACATCTTAGGCAACAAAGAAGTGTGTGTTTACGCTTTATTATTGTATAGATATAGATAGAAGTATAGATTATGATATCTACACACTTTAAATCATTGTTTTAAATAACGCATTTAACTTATTTTAACATAAATATGACTCTTATTGCCATTAAAGTAGGGGTTGTTTTGTAGGTTCGTAGCGGACAAGGAATTTGCAGGCACAAGCAGTAATACAACTCGAGCCGGACCAGTGCAGTTTGAAAAGGACAATCCTTCAACTAGAGAAGAAACAGTTAGTATACTTTCTTTTACGAATATTACAAAGAAGAAATATTAAACTAAATAAAATATAATATAAATAACACATAAACTACTGGAGAAATACCAGATATTCTTTCATAATTAAAAGCTATGTTATCGCTGTTACATAGGCTGTATTTTTTAAATTCATGCGAGCGAAATCGATGGCAACAGCTAGTAGAAAATAAATGACATTTGGTACACTAATATTCAAACATAATACATTACATATACCTTTCAAGTTTACTGGCATTGTATACTAATTGCGCCAGTAACTTGCAAGGTACATTTTACTAGCATATGTATTAATAGTATATAATTTTAGCAGCAAAGTCGCAGCCAATCTGATGCAGACTTTGATCCGTTCGGTCTGGACCGGTTCTTGAGCGAGGCGAAGCGCGCGGATAAGTCCGGCCGCAAACGAGACCATGACCATCATGATAGGCACGACACACACAAGAAGAGGAGGGATTAGTGAGTATAGATTTCGTTTTAATCAGCCGTGGAATTAAAAAAAAAGGTATGTAGCCTATGTCTTCCGGACTGTTCTCTACACTTGTGACAAATTTCATTCCATTCAGTTGTTAAGGCTACGAATTGTAACAAACTTCTATTTAAACTTTTGCATTTTTAATATTAGTAAGATAATATAAGTCTTTTTATTAACTGAATACACTAAAAATACTTTTATGTCTATAATGTGAAATTTAAAACCTTCACAAGCATGATCCCCCTTGCCCTTTCTGGCGGCCATACTATAATATAGTCCTATTGGATTCATACTAAGTTTAACTAAAAATAATATATAAATATGGAAAAGACAAATTTTAACAAAACATTTTTTTAATTTACCTTAATAATGATGTAATCACACTTATTCAAAAGCCATTTTTGGTTTATTAATTTAAACACTGTCAAAGAAAATCCTATTAAAATAAAAGACATATCTACTGAAATGTTTAATTGTATTTTTTCTTACAGATCCAGTTATGTTCCCGGGATAAGACAAGTAACAACACGCTTATTACTTATGTGTGTTTGAGTGAAAGATGTATCCATGTTTCCATTTTCTTAACGCCTGTGCACAAATATTGTCTCTATTTTCACAAACAGAATGAAAGAGATAACAATGTTTTTGCACAGGTGGTAGAAATCAATGGTAAGTAGTTTAGTTTTAATTTTTATAGCTTTTTAAATGGTGTTCAATTAATAAACAATGTAAATATGTAAGTTGTAATTTTTATCTGATATGACGGAGAAAAAGAAAAATGTCTGCCTTAGATAGCAATAATTTCAGTAAAATAACTGAGGGCTTTAAAACAACTAAAGCGTGTGCCTTAGTTGTTTTGATAATGTTAAGTACAATATTAGAAGTTAATGGCAGAAAAATAACCGTTGCCTTGTATTTAAAAAACTATGGGCGTGTAGAAAGCCTGCTCTATCGAGCGAGAGGCGAGAACATAAAGAAAAACAATCTACGAGTTTGACTAAATAACATGTAAATGTAAAATAGTATATAGTGGTCATTACTTTTGTAATAAATATTGATTTTATTACTGTGTTTCATTTTTTAACCTATTGCTTACCTTGAATTTTTTTATGCTAGCCATTAGCGAATCGAAAGAATCTCTCCAACCGTCTGGTATCAGAGTTTTTTTAATTAAAAATAAATGTATAATACTAGCATTTTCATGAAATAATTGGTTTCTAACGGAATTCTTCAAGAGAATAGTAATTTATTTTATTAATTTCTATAAACTAGTCTCAGTTACAAGAAACCAGAAGTAACGTTTAAGTAAATCCTACCAAAGTGTATAAATTATTGATTTTCTAATACCAGGAGTGGTAACACTGAATGACTTCTGCCTGTTTGACATTTGACAATCTTTTTTTTTACACTATCGTCGGTTTTCTCGCGAATACTTTGCAAGATAATATAAAATTACGTAAAACAAATAATCAATAAGATGTTTTAGTAACCTGTGCAAATATTTGTAATAACGAAGAGATATAATAAAGGTATGTGAATCATTAATTTCGCAACAATGGGCACAGAGTGATCCGTTCATCTAGATTTTGATTAATTAGTTAAAAGAAACATTTTATAAATGAAATACTCATTATATTTAACTTTCTCATTACACTTTGATTTAATCCTTGTAGGATCAAAACACCATAACAGAGAATACACATTCTTACAAACTGTATTAAACCTCCAATATTTCGATTACAATCTTACCTTAATGCAAAAAACCTGCATTATTTGTAAATACTAATTTTCAATTGATATTGAAAAGGTTAATTATTTTACATTACTTCAAATAACAACTTAGACATTCCAAGAAACAAAATACATTTTGATTTAAAAAACATAGATGCATTAATCTAAAAAACTATTCTTGCAAAATATCTCTTGGCAAAATGGTCTTAGACAAAATAGGTAGTTTGAATTATGTGTTTAATTCTAATAAGAATCACAATCTATGCTTTGAGTTTAATAAAATTAAAACTATTGAAAAGAGTAATATTTTAATTGGAATAAGCACTTTTTAGAGTTTCACCGTCACAAACTAGATTACTTGAAAACCTAAATAACCAGTAAAAATAAAAAAAATACTTCCCATAAGGAATAAATTTCTTATTAAACACAGTTATCAAAATTTGTATATCACATCACAGATATATACACCGAATCTTACTAATTCCATTGATAATATTTTTTATGAAATTTCATAAACTCTGAATTGTTGATAACAATATAACTACTATTTATAACATTGTGAAACCTATGTGTAATCCTCTGTTATCATTTGAGGTCATTCTGTACAAAGTACATAACATAGGATGCTTTATTTATTACATTGTTACCCATTTCCATCGTCTAAAAACATTATTCAACTTGAAATAATTGCAATATCTTATTTACGACTAGCTGTTACCATGCGGCTACATCTGCATCAAATTATAAAAATATTATTATGTTTATATTTATTAAATTCTCAATTGCAAATATTAAAAATACTGTTATCATAACAACCTTGCTTCCTTTATGTTCTTAATTTATGGCCCCTTTCTCACATGAAGGTTTTTTCAAATTTACTTACCCCCTAATTTAATAAGGTGAAAACATATAGCTTAAAGTGTGTTGTAAGTGTAGGGCTTTTCATTAAACAAAGGATTATTCAAAAATATGTTGTGATTGCTGAAATCTTATGCCACAAAGTAGAGTGTGTTTATGCTTTATTATATTAGTATAGATATAGATTATTCACTAAAACCAAAGGACAACATAGAGTAGTTATCTTTGAGCTAAAAGGTTGCAAACTTTTCCCTACCATAAATGTGCAAAAGAGGGGATGTAAAGTCTCTATCTATAACATCTTTAACTTTCTAAAAAAAATTTTTTTGTTTTTGCAAAATCATGGTAAAAACAAATAACAAATGAAACATTTAATTACGTCATCACGATAGTTGACGTAATTTGTCCGTTGTACGTAATTGACCTTGAGGTTTTTTGCATGTTCCGTTTTGCAAACATTGTTCTAAATATATAAAATAAACCACATTGTGTTTGTGGTATGTGTTAACGACTAGTGTATGGGCTGAATGAAGATTTTCTATTAATTCCGTTTGTCAGTGTCTTATTTACTTAATACCAGTCGCTCACGATTTTGAAATTAATAAATAGAAAAAGCTTACGTTACTGATTACATGCTTTTTAATGGTAAAGGAATTATTGAAATCGGTTCAATAGTTTTTGAGTTATTCCAATACATCCAAAAATACCAATTTTTTTACTATATAATATTAATATTGATATAGATAGAGCTTATGGTCGTTTCAGAGTTGAGAATTCCCTATATATTTATAAATAACTAGACGGAAGCTAGACGCTAGAATAATACCCGAATATAGATGGGACAGTACTAATTACAAATAATATAAAAATAGTTTTCAGCAAAGTACATGACATTTGTAACCAATGTAATGAATGCCGTCTATTTTTAAAATACTCAGACGTGTGATGCCATTGGCCAGCTGGTATTCTAGGCGACAAAATCTAGCGCGAAAATAAGCCCTTAGTATTAGAAATAATTTAGTGCTGTAAAAGTGATTGTTGAATGAAGAATTGTTATAATGGATAAGGATTTGAAACGTGTTTTAACGCGCCAACGATGTATAGACGGTATTTTATAACCTTTTAATTTTGACGTTTGTTTTCCCGCCTTTTTGTCTATTTTTTTTTAATGTCGCAGAGTGCAATGACATTTGTTTTGAAAGTCATTTATGTTGGCGTCTATGGGTAATATTTAATCGTAAAACAGAGTATTACGACAAAATCATGTTTTTTTTATAATAATTGGTTAACGAAATTGTAGGAAATATTTGTAGATTGTTGTGTTTGAATTATCATTGTGTAGGCTGGCTACCATAAATGTTATTAAGAGATATCGTATCCAAATTTTGTAGACGATAAGCGGTTATTACGTATTATTAGACCGACAAACGGATGCAAATTGCTAATAAAGATTATGTAGAAAAGGCATTGCATATCGTAAAATTTGACGTAAGGGTATGGTGGCCATGAAAAAGAATTGTGTAGGACAGTATTGAATATTGTTGACTAATGATCATGTTGGTATAAACTTCTTTACAGATAATTATGTTTTTTATTCATATATAAAAAAAATTACATCGTAAACTTAAAATCACAACCTTACCAATTAAGATAGGGCTGACAAATGTTGATTTAATTACGTCAGTGAACATTTTTTATATCATCTACGTCAACTTAGTTCCCCATTTATTCTGTAGTATGTGTACATATTGAGTTATCCCAGTACAAGTTTAATTTAATGTGTTCCTAGTGTTATACGTGTTTGCTACGTCACAATTTGGCGCGCTCTGATAAGAAGGCCGAACGGGTGTGACTTGCCGCGCCTCCGCAGTACGGTTCTTTTACTCAAAAGTGGCGCGCGTTTTGACACGTGTGACAAAGTGTTTTTTTTATTTTAATACTTAATGGCTGCAATTTCAATAGTGTTTTAATTTTGTTGCCAGTCAACTCTTAAAATGGAAGATGGTAAGGATTTTTAATGATTTTATTCTTGTTTTTAATATAATGAATGTTGCAGTGTTAAGTTATTTATTTTTTAATCTGCTTTATTATTATCTGATTAAAGTCTGTGACATTCAGACATTGGAATAAATTATCTGCGATAAATTTTGGCTTTTGTTTTCAATGGAAATTTTAAGTGCGATTTAATTATATTTCTTGTCATTTGTTTTTGTAAGTAAATTAGACAATAGTTTGAATTATTTAACAATTTTTTTTTAATATATTTCTCTTGTACGTTGTATTTGCATGAATAATTTTATATCATGTTAACTCAGTAGTTTAGTGGTTTGTCTAAGAATATGTAGATAATAAATCCAAGCAACAATTTAATGAAAACTGCGGTTTTTCCTTGTATTTGCTGTACTTTCCAGCACATGTTATCTATTTACGTTACAAATTAATAAAAGAAAATCGGTTAAACTAAACAATGATTAAGGAAAACATGAAGATTGAGATATCTTGAAGTCCTACGTTATGTATGGTCGTAATATTATTCTGTCCTCCAAATCATTGTTTCCCTCACTGTTGATTATGTCCCCAATGTTAATTAAATCCCCTTTCATATAATCCATACTCTACCCGATGTACCCCAACAGAGGAGGGTAAAACCTCCTCCTAATACATCTATACTCTACTATATTTTTTTGTGACTGAATGGCCACTGTTTGCCTTGAGGCATTTACATATTCACGGGGCTTGAGGTGTCCGAGCGCAGATGGCGCTTAGCCTAAACCTCCTCTATACTAAGCTTCTGCTCTGCAATTTACCTTTAAGGAACATATGAAAATTCGAAAAATTGAAGAACACTTTGGTACCCATGACCTGTAGATTACAAGTCAAGAGCTTAAACCACTGAGCCACCAACGCTCTAAAAACTAGCTTTCGCCGTCGTGGAATTAATAAAAACAAAAGTAAACCTCGATGAAAAATTTCATCTAGATCCGTTTAGGCTATAAACTTTAACAAATATCCATCTATCTAAAATTCTACATTTTTAATATTAATCTTTCAAGAAAAGCCGTAACTATGTAGATAAACTGATATCGGAAAATTACCGCATGTCAGTAAATCTGTGGGATTATAGTTGGATCTATTATCTTGGTTGAGACGCTTTAGTATGATAAGACAGCGATAGGAGACGACTTTAATAATATAGCGAAGAAAAATGCTAATAAAGATATGTTAGTATAGTAGTCATATCCCCACCTTATTCCACTCCTATAGGTTTGGCGTCCCAGGTTTTCGTCCTCCAAATAACTCTATCATACGTCATCTCAGTCATCACTACCTTGATCATGTCACCTTTCACGCAATCCATCTCTTTCTATGTAAACCTCTACCGGTGTAACTCATAACTAACATCCTTGTTACATGCGATTCATCCCTCATAACATGCCCATCTAGTATACTAATGCTATAAAAGGGAAAGATTTGTATTTTTCTATGTACTGATATATCAAAAACTACTCGGTCGATTTCAACAATTCTTACACCGTTAGAAAGGTAATTTATATGTGAGTAACATAGGCTATATGTTTTTTTTTATTTCACGCCGACGAAGTCACGAGCAACAGCTATTTTAGTATAGTAGTGACACTAATTTATCTGGTCCGGTATATGTATAGTCCGTCCAACTTAGACCATGAATTAGATCATTATAGTCTACAAACAATTTTTAATGTAAGGAATTGTTTTTTTTATAATAATGTAGACAAAGGCAGACTAGTTTTATAAATGACATCATAACATCAATTAACGTATATGAGATATTTTATTGTCGACAGTTAACACTGATTACTTGAGATTTGTAACTACCGTCATTTCTTGTTGGAATAGCTAACTGTTGGGTTCCTTTGCTTATGTTTTTTTTTAAAAGGTAGTCTCTAAAACAAAAGTAGTTTGGCATTTCACTGCTAATTATTCAGTTGTTATTTTAACACATGTTTTCGTCCCTTACTTTCTCTTTTACATAACAGAGACAACATATGTCAAGGGTCACGTCGACACACCCTACACCCCTTTTGACCTACTTTCTATTAAGGTGAAGAACTTAGTGGCAATTAAGCACTTAAGTTATCAGAGTTTAGTTTTATGCAGTAACCCGCCGAGACCGGGGTCCTAAGTTGAAACGAAAATATTTTTATTTGCATTACAAATTAAAAAAAAAACCGACTTCCAAACAAATACACTAAAAACAAAACATTCTCAAAAATAAAACAATGCACTAAAAAGTAACGAAATAATTCCTTGAAAATAATAAACCTCCCTTATTGTAGCTGTTATGTGTATATTGTACAATTATTATTACTTTGATGCCGGTGTCAGCCGAGATATGCAGTGATATTTCTACGTAGGGCTTTCTCTATTTTTACCATAACGTATAGTTATGAATCTACATTGACTGACACCGACTTCTTGAAGTCGGTTATAAACTCTAAAATTATTAGCATTTCTCTACTATTTTATACATAAACCTTACTCTTGAATCTGTTAAAAAAACTGCATCAAAATCCGTTGCGTAGTAAAGATCTAAGTTTATATAGCGGGAAGTTACTTGGTTTTATACTAAGCAGTGATTTACATTAGGGTTTACCAAATAAATCTTAGACCGCGTGAACACCTTTGACTAATCTAAACTGTTTAGTCACGCTTTGATTCCTATGAGCGTGTATGGAGGTGCGCACACTATTCGATTTTTATTACAACCAAACAGTTGAAGGCTGCGAAATAATAGACAATCGTACAGCAGTTGTGCGATGGTTTAGTTAGGTGTGCGCGCGGCTTACTTTACAACAGACGTAGACAGTGTATTTATTCTTAGTTGATTATCTTTGTAAGTAAAATATAATCTGTTAGATAAAATATTTGTTTAGACTATCATGTTATCATACTAATATTATAAATGCGAAAGTTTAGATGTATGGATGTTTGTTAGAGTTTGTAGCCTAAACGGCTTAACGGATTTCGATAAAATTTGGCATAGATGTAGAGGATAGTCTGGAAGAACACATAGGCTACTTGGTTTTGTTTTTATTACCACGCGGACGGAGTCGCGGTCGAAAGCTAGTCTTTAATAATAATAAACTCGTGTTATAACGATGTTCTTCAAATACGCGTTACGCGATTAGTTAAGCGCACATCTTTGACTAAACAGTCATGCGATTGTCGATTGTTTCGCAACCTTCAACTGTTTAGTTGCACAACTAAAGTCGAGTAGCGCACCTCCATATAAGCTCATAGGAATCAAAGCGAGACTAAACAGTTGTTCGATAGTTTAGTCAAAAGTCTGCGCGCACTTAATCTTTGTACATGAAGTGTTATGTATGTTTATTTTTTCGTCTTATGTAAAATGTGAAAAACATAGTAACTGTACCGAGACAGATTAGCGAGTGAACTTTGTTTCATAGTTTCTTATAATACTGATAAAGATGTATTAATTAAAATTTATTTGTACAACAAATGGAATAATACGCGATATCTTGAGGTCAAAGTTTTTCTGATTACCTTAATTTCATAATATCTTTTGAACTATGAATCATATTGTAATTCAACGTAGCATTTTTTTCTGTTGACCCGGTTTTTAATTCATTTGTTTATTGTTTTCAAGATTTTAGGGCGTTCACGTATTGATGACACGGTGACAATAATTTTTTTGGGACGGGATATAAATGTGTATTTACAATGACTAATCATTTTTGGTGACTTAGGATATTATCTGTGAAAATTATAAAAAAACAGTCCCTAAGAAAGACTTTAGTTGAATAATAGTATTATAATTAGTTTTTTTTTTTATAATTTTGTTTATGTTTATTTCCAGAAGCCGACATGCCTGTCAAAGACGGGTTGAAGAAGTCATTGATTGGTGTCATAGACGATGGCACCAAAACTGTCAGATTTGTGGTATGTTTTTGTTTTTATTTTAACAAATAGTTGAAAAGTCGTTGCTGAAATATCCCACAAACGTAATGCAAATATGAAATAAGCATGTGCTTTGCTTTTTGTCTGTCGGAGGCCTAATTCTAACCCTATTCTTTTCATATGAAGATAGAATGGTTTAGTGAATCAGGTGGAGAAAGGGACGTACAGGAAAGGGAAATTCTTGTTCACTTCTTCATAATGGATTTAAACCCGTATAAGATAAATACCATGTCTGTGATGGATGTTTCCCGTTGGGCCGTTCGTCCTATCGATCGTTCGACCGAATTGTATTTTTTTCATTATGCTAATCGAATTCATATAGTCGACCCAATAGGAAAAATATTCCATATTTCGATCGGCCCAACGGGAACTCTGTAATGGTTAAAAAATGAAAGGGAAATATTCTTGTGACGATAATGTAGACTCACGATAGTATAATTTAATCACTACCAAGTTTACTTTTTCGATACAATGTCCTTGTTTTTGTTTGTAAAAGTAATTTGTATCTTACGTTTTTTGCGCAATACATACACGGTCATTCGACATTTTTTTACAACGCCATTATTTTTTATTTACTTACCGGCCAGTGTTACAAATAAACTTTTTTCATTTTACATTTTATTAGCAGGTTATCAACTTGCACTTATCCCTTACGGAGGGTTGGCACAGTATGTGCTGCTCTTCCATACATCTCTATCAGCCGTCATATCTGAATCCACTCTTTTCTTAAGCATATCCTCTTTCATACAATCCATCATAGTTTCGTCGGTCTTTCTCTACCTTTGTAGCCATCCACATTCAATCTTAACACTTTCCGGTCCCCGTTGTCTCTAACAGCTCATAACGTGACGTAAGTGTAGGGCTTTTTATTAAGAAAAAGAATTATTCAAAGATATGCTGTAATTGCTGACATCTTAGGCAACAAAGAAGTGTGTGTTTACGCTTTATTATCATAGTATAGATTTGTGACAGACGGAGTTTTCGTTGCAATGAACAAGGAAATTTCCTAAAGTGTTACACCACTTATTTCAACTGTACATTTTTAAACTATTTCAGATATATGAAGCGGAACGTTCAGAAGAGTTAGTAGCTTACCAGTTAGATAAAACAGAAGTACAGCCGCAAGAAGGATGGTATGAACAGGATCCTATGGAGATAGTGAACCACATCAAAATATGTGCTGAGAACGCTATTGGACAGTTGACTGAGTTAGGTATGTTGTCTGGTTAACAGATACAAAAATATAAAAAAAAATAGAGGAGGATTTTTTTTTATTTTTGACATAAATTTCCTCAAAGACCTCAAAAAGACGTGTCAATATAATTAATTTTATTGGAATTAATTGCCAATAAATGTCATTCATGTTTTGTGACACTGTTTTTGAAAAGAGCACCAGTGGTGGAGAAATTGAGAAGCAAAAGGTTAGCGTGGTATGAACTTGTGCGACCAGACGATGGGGACATAAACCGGAAAGTGTTAAGATTGAATGTGGATGGCTTCAAAGGTAGAGGAAGACTGGAGTATGGATGGATTGTGTGAAAGAGGATGTGCTTAAGAAGGGAGTGGATTCAGATATGACGGCTGATAGAGATGTATGGAAGCAGCACATACTGTGCTGACCCTCCATAAGGGATAAGGGCAAATGGATGATGAAGTGGATGTTTTGTGAAACTGTTTAGTTTTTATTATAACAAAAGATGGAGCGTATAATTTTGTAGAATGTTTTGTAAAATGACACGAGTTGGCACTAAACTTGACAACATAGTACCTATCAAAGAAGTTACCGGTGAAAAAAATGTTGTTCACTGTCTAGTCTATGTATTTCTTTAATGTTTTTATAAAATATAAAATGTATTAGTAGATTTTTGTTAATTTACTAATATTTCCTTTAACCATTCCAACTAAGCTCTAGGCTTGTGCTAGGATATGGCTCACGACAGTCGAATGGCGGGATTCGAACCATCGTCCTCAAGATCGGTAGTTCGTCCAAACCACTAGGTTATTGGCGCTTTGGTCTTTGGTTCTTGATAATTATGTTGTTTCTCTTTCTAGGATACTCTAAAGAAGATATAGTGACGTTAGGTATAACGAATCAGAGGGAGACAACGATAGCGTGGGACAAATATACAGGAGTTCCACTACATCCTGCTATAGGTAAAATTCTCTAAGATTTTATATTAATACAAGCTGTTCCCATGCGGCTTCATCCGCATGAAATTATAGAAACTGTATCTTATTATTTACATTTGTCAAATTATCAATAACAAATGTAAAAATGACATGACAAAACTTGGCAATCTTGCTTCCTTGATGTTGGCAGCTCGTAGTTTATGGTCCCTTTCCCACATGAAGGTTATTTTCCAAATTATTTACTCCCTAAGTTTAACAGTGTGGAATATAGCTTAAAGCATGTCCTAAGTGAATTATTATTAAAGAAAGAGTTATTTAGAAATATACTGATATTGCTGACACAACAAAGTGTGTTTTCGCTTTATTATATTTGTATAGATTTCATATTAATATAAGTTTTGGGTTGTAACAGAATCTAAATGTTTCACTATATACTTTTCAGCTTGGAATGACATACGAACAGACAGCACTGTGGACGCTATTCTAGCTAAACTACCTGATAGAAATAAGAATTATCTGAAGAATATCAGCGGGTTACCTATCAGCCCTTATTTTAGTGCTCTCAAGATGCGTTGGATGAAGGATAATATAAAAGCAGTGAGGCGAGCAAGCAGGGATAAAAGATTGTTGTTCGGTACTGTTGATTCTTGGATTGTTTGGGTGAGTTTTTACCATTTATGTATGGACTAGCTGTTCCCGTGCGACTTCGTCCGCATGAAATTATGAAGATTTTATTTTATTGTTTACATGTGTTAAATTATCAATTGCAAATGTCAAATGACATCACATGATAACAACCTTGCTTCCTTGATGTTGGCAGCAACTTATGGTCTCTTTCCCACATTAGGGTTTTTATCCAAAATATTTACCCCCTAAGTTTAATGGCGTGAAAATATATAGCCTAAAGCGTGAGATTAGTGCAGTGCTTTTTATTAAAAAAAGAATTATATAAAAATATGCTGTAATTGCTGACATCTTAGGCAACAAAGAAGTGTGTGTTTACGCTTTATTATATTAGTACAGATTATACTAGCTGTTCCTTACGACTTCATCCACATAAATTTAAAATTTAGTAATAATACAGCCTATGTTACTTACAGATAAATTACCTTTCTAACGATGAAAAAATTTTTAAAAACTTCTCAGTAGTTTTTGAGTTATTCCAATAAAAAATAATCCTTCCTCTTTATAATATTAGTATAGATATATTTTTTATATGTTTTGTAGAATTTAACCGGAGGTCCTCAAGGTGGTCTGCATATAACAGATGTGACAAATGCTTCTAGGACTTTACTGATGGACCTCGATACATTAAATTGGGACCCTATGCTCTGTAGGTAAGGTTCAAATTACTTTATATCAAACTAGCTTTCACTCGCGACTCCGTTTGCGTTTAATTAAAAAAACAAAAGTAAGTAGCCTATGTGTTTTAAGCTATCCTCTACATCTATGCCAAATTTCATTGAAATCTGTTCAGCAGTTTAGGCTACAAACTCTAAAAAACATCCATCCATCTAAACTTTCGCATTTATAATATAAGTAAGATTAGTAAAATTAGAAAATTAAGGGCCTTTTTCACCAAACTGTAATTGTCTGATAATAATCCAACATGTACAATATGTGAAATATCGGATTTTGTTACCTAATCTGACTGACGTCATTTTTAAGCTATCCGAACCTCTATCAGCCTGTGGTGGGACTGGCCCTTAAAGTTCAAGCTAACCTTCATAATACTACTGTACTTTCTTTTATTTATTTAATTAATTAATTAAAGTTAACAAAAAAATAGTAAACTTCTTGCTAATAATAATGCAAAAGATTGGATGGATGGATGGATGTTGGGTACTGTGTATATCCAAAAATAATTAATAATGATAAATTTGTAACAGATGCAAATAGTGTGGAAGAACACAGGGTAATTTAGTTTTTTTTTTATAATTTCATACGAACAGAGTCGCATGCATAAGCTTGTCAATGGAGTTAATATAACATTTTTATTGTTATTTATTTGTTAGTACTAGTTATTGTAATTAATAGTTTATTTTTAAAATTTTCAGGTTATTTGGTATACATAGAGATTCTCTGGCACAAATACGAAGTAGTTCTGAATTGTATGGAGTTGTAAAAGATGGCTCCATTTTGGATGGATATGAGATATCTGGGGTAAGATATTAAAATAAATAACTTGGCTTTTTTTTATAACATAAGGTGGCAAACGAGCAAGCGGCCACCTGAATCCGCCAAAATGGCGAAGCGACCGCTGACTAAGACATCCGCAATTGTAGATGCGTTGCTTACACTTATACGACGGAGGAGACGCATATAAAGAGGATATTTCCCCTTCCTATGCATTTCCTCCACCGTCAAATCCACTTCCTCTTCCCATCCTCTCCTTATAAGAAAAGGGTGGTAAAGAGAAAGGGACTTAAATTAGACCTCCTGCACCACACTCATCAGACTGTACGCGGAATTGCTTTCATTTGACGCCTGTCTTCTGTGTGGTCGTGGTATTACTGGGGGCGTGTCCTGCAGTGCTAAGATGTTAAAGCGACTATATTTTATTAGCAGCTATAGTCCAGCTGACACATGATTTTTTTTTTATTCTTAACGTTTATGAGATTTTCAATTGTAAATGTTTTTAAATGTTCAAACAAGAAAGAAGGTTATACCATTTGATAATAACCGTTACCATGGCAATCTTGATTTGGTTTGTAGTTTTTGTCCCTTTCTCGCATAATAATGTTTTCTGGTTTATTAACTTTCTAAATGAAAGAGTGTAAAAAATATAGCCTAAAGCGTGTCGTAAGTGTAGGGCTTTTTATAAAAAAAGAGTTTAAAAATATGCTGAAATCTTTATTGTAAAGTACAAGCTGTTGCCCGCGATTTCGTCCGCGTGGTATAACAAAACATACGAACTATATAAATAACACAAGGCTACGTAACTCGGGGATGAACTTTATCCCATGTTTACTCCAGACTTTTTATAATCTGTGCCAAATTTCAATAAGATGTGTTGAATCGTTGCAGAATGATTGAGTTAACATTAAGAAACTAAATTAATGAATCCCACGGGAACCTTAACTATTTCCGGGATAAAAAGTAGTATGTGTTCTTCCAGACTATGCTCTACACCTTTTTTTTTTTCCGAAGGGGAAT